TACACTGGCAGTGGCGCTCATAGAGAAATGCTCTAATTCCAGTGCTAGTGGTGGACAAGGACATCATCTATGTCAGGAGAGCAACACCTTGAGGAGGAGTCTTCTCAGTCATGATGAGGGGAGGTCTTGTCTTGTTCCAGGAGAGCAACACCTTGAGGAGGAGTCTTCTCAGTCATGATGAGGGGGAGGTCTTGTCTTGTTCCAGGAGAGCAACACCTTGAGGAGGAGTCTTCTCAGTCATGATGAGGGGAGGTCTTGTCTTGTTCCAGGAGAGCAACACCTTGAGGAGGAGTCTTCTCAGTCAGGATGAGGGGAGGTCTTGTCTTGTTCCAGGAGAGCAACACCTTGAGGAGGAGTCTTCTCAGTCATGATGAGGGGGAGGTCTTGTCTTGTTCCAGGAGAGCAACACCTTGAGGAGGAGTCTTCTCAGTCATGATGAGGGGGAGGTCTTGTCTTGTTCCAGGAGAGCAACACCTTGAGGAGGAGTCTTCTCAGTCATGATGAGGGGGAGGTCTTGTCTTGTTCCAGGAGAGCAACACCTTGAGGAGGAGTCTTCTCAGTCATGATGAGGGGAGGTCTTGTCTTGTTCCAGGAGAGCAACACCTTGAGGAGGAGTCTTCTCAGTCATGATGAGGGAGGTCTTGTCTTGTTCCAGGAGAGCAACACCTTGAGGAGGAGTCTTCTCAGTCATGATGAGGGGAGGTCTTGTCTTGTTCCAGGAGAGCAACACCTTGAGGAGGAGTCTTCTCAGTCATGATGAGGGGAGGTCTTGTCTTGTTCCAGGAGAGCAACACCTTGAGGAGGAGTCTTCTCAGTCATGATGAGGTGAGGTCTTGTCATCGTGACAGTTGGTTGTAAAATGTAGGACTCATAAGGGAGAAATCTGCTGCCAACTATAGCCTGTGAAGTCTCTTCTTTGTCGAACCTTCTTGTTTCAGAGCCTCAAAAAATGACTTAATTTGAGGCTTAACAGGAGTGGGGGAGAAAGAAAAAAGCTCTCAATTCCCCCAAAAATTAATTAGCTGATGTCTCAATTCATCACCATCTAGCACAACCCTTAGAATCAACCCTTCGCCATCTTGCACAGCCATTAGAATCAACCCTTCGCCATCTGGCACAGCCATTAGAATCAACCCTTCGCCATCTAGCACAACCCTTAGAATTAACCCTTCGCCATCTAGCACAGCCCTTAGAATCAACCCTTCGCCATCTTGCACAGCCATTAGAATTAACCCTTTGCCATCTGGCACAGCCATTAGAATCAACCCTTTGCCATCTGGCACAGCCATTAGAATCAACCCTTTGCCATCTGGCACAGCCATTAGAATTAACCCTTTGCCATCTGGCACAGCCATTAGAATTAACCCTTCGCCATCTGGCACAGCCATTAGAATCAACCCTTCGCCATCTAGCACAGCCCTTAGAATCAACCCTTCGCCATCTTGCACAGCCATTAGAATTAACCCTTCGCCATCTAGCACAACCCTTAGAATTAACCCTTCGCCATCTAGCACAACCCTTAGAATTAACCCTTCGCCATCTAGCACAGCCATTAGAATCAACCCTTTGCCATCTTGCACAGCCATTAGAACCTTTACCTAAGTGGGATGCAGAACTACAACACACATTGACTGACTTTGATGGTGTTCTGTTCTAGTGTTTCTGTGGAACACCAAGCTACAAAAACAAAAGTGAGAAATAATACATGTAATTAAGCTATTGGCTATAGCCTGGGCAGTGGACTGATCCAACACAGATTAACCAGATATTCAGGCTAACTACCAAGCCAGACACAGAACATATTTCATTGTCTCCCTTTTGTGTCCCAACTTAGGATACCATACAATAGGGCTAAATGTTCTGTTGTCATCCAAGGGGCTTACAGTACATGAAGGTATTCAAAATCCCCAACACACATCAGAACCCATCTCAGCAGACATGGAGCACTTCTCATAGAGATGACCTTGTTGTCATAGAGATGGCCTTGTTGTCATAGAGATGGCCTTGTTGTCATAGAGATTGCCTTGTTGTCATAGAGATGGCCTTGTTGTCATAGAGATGGCCTTGTTGTCATAGAGATTGCCTTGTTGTCATAGAGATTGCCTTGTTGTCATAGAGATTGCCTTGTTGTCATAGAGATGGCCTTGTTGTCAAGATTTGAGTCTTATTTTCCTTAGAAGGTTTTTCACACGTTGTGGATTTGTACCAAAACAATTAATTCCATATATCCCTACTTCGGTTTAACCACCCTCTTCATTTTATTCCCAGATCTTCTATTTGTCGTACTAGAGGGACATGAAGTCTGACTCCATCCTCAACATGTGGACCTGCCCTGAGGATGTTGGACACCACTGTTACACCTTCAGCCATGTTGATTTCCTGTCAGACTGGTTGTTTTTGGTCCATGGACTGACAGACCTGAACTTTTACCAGAACAAGGAATACAATGTTCATCAGACTCTCCTCACAGTGAACTGATGTCTCTCTGACTGGTTGTGAGGTCACAGGAAATAGACTGATCTGTTTACAAGGGATGCATCATTCTAATTCTGATAGAATACGGTTCTAAGGAGTTCAGGTAGTAACCAGTACTTTGAGATGAATGTAGATGTCCACACTCTGGACAATATAAAAGGCTTTGGAGAGGGGACCACGCTTTCAGGAGAAGGATAACAGGGCCTTGTCCAGAAACAACCCCCAGCCCTTACCGCCAAGGCACTTGTGTACAGGACATTTAATAAAGGGAATGTAATACATTATTTGATACAATCAGGGAATTTTGCATACAGTTCAGTTACATTACGTTTTGGAAATTCAATGGTCATTAAAATGTATTTTTGGGGGGTTTTCCGCATTTGCCCTGTATGTGTATGGCTGTTGTCATGGAAAAGTCATGGAATTTTTTGTGCATCTTAAGAGTGGAAAGAAACCCTGTGTACAGATCTGAAATTAGTCACTCTGAACATTTCATCTAGCCTATCAGAGGGTATGTTTTGCCACTTTGCTTGTTATACCACAATCTTTTAGTTTTACATGAATTCTAGTCTGGCAACCGGTTGTCCGGCTTAAATAAAATTAAGTCTCCTAGGGCCAGTTTCTCGGATGTAGATAAATTCCAAAAATCATGTTCAATGGAGATTCACCGTTGAAAGTGCTTTTACGGGCCTGCTACACTGGAAACTTATTTTTGCAGGGCATGAAACGCTCTTATTTATTTCAATGAAACCTGGGTGTAGGCAGCAGTGCTCCACATAAGGCTTGCGCTGCCCCTCAGGGTTGGGCTGAATTAGAATTGAAGGCATTTAATTCAGGAAGTTATCACAAATTACAATTAATTAATTGAAAACAAATTTTTATTTTCAATACTTCTTAATACACTGAAAAGTAGAAGCTATTGATTTAAAACGTTTTTCAATTTCAGAATTGTTTTATTCAAATCATTTCCTGAATTGACTGCCTTTAATTTGAGTCGAGCCCAAACCTGGTGACCAGTGTGAAATAACTCTGGTTCTATTTCCAAGGATTCGTTGCGCAGCTCATGCCCGAGAACACTTGGAAGTGTGTTTTCTGCTACTGCCAACAAAAAGTTACACTGGGTTTACATGACTCGTGCAGGAACAGCTTTGCGCTGAGTGAGCCCAAACCCAGGAATAACGGCTGCGCCTGCCGTTCAGCAGCAACTTCAAAATACCGCTATCACTCGATCTTTGTTAAAATGCTTTGAGGTGGGCCTCCCGAGTGGCGCAGCGGCCTAAGGCGAACCCGGGCTGTGCCACAACCGGCCGTGGCCGGGAGTCCCATAAGACGGCGCAAAATTGGCCCAGCGTCGTCAGGGTTAGGGGAGGGTTTGGCCGGCCGGGCTTTACTTGGCTCATCGCGCTCTAGCGACTCCTTGTGGCGGGCCGGGTGCCTGCGGGCTTACCTCGGTCGCCAGTTTTAACAGTTTTTTTCCCCGGACACATTGGTGGGGCTGGCTTCCAGGTTAAGCTGGCGGGTGTTAAGAAGCGCGGTTAGGCGGGTCATGTTTAGGAGGACGCATGACTCCACCGCCTCTCCCGAGCCTGTTGGGGAGTTGCAGCGATGAGACAAGATTGACGATTGGGGAGAAAAAGGGGGTAAAATACCCAAAAATAAATAAATAATGCTTTGAGGTGTGGGTTTTTCCATCTAGTCAATGCACGGGACAATGTACAACTTTAACATCTTGTCTGTCCAGAAGATAGCAGCAGAGGGCTCTATTATAAAAAGACAAAGAACCAACTGTGACGACACAACACAACCATTTTCTAATTCATTAATTCACTGGGAAGATTTTGCAACCCTCAGTTCAGACAAAATAAAATGATCCAGACGTTGCTTGAGATAATCATTGACTGTCTTGTACCACCATCGTGTGGCCAAAAGATAGCAATGCATTAACGTGGGTCAGTGAAAGAATCTCAATTGTACATGAGAAATTCAGAGTTCCTGACCATCTGACCTCCTCCAATGGGTTTTGAGGAGAGAGGACGCGATGAGTCCCCTGTAGCTCAGTTGGTAGAGCATGGCGCTTGCAACGCCAGGGTTGTGGGTTCGTTTCCCACGGGGGGCCAGTATGAAAATGTATGCACTCACTAAGTCGCTCTGGATAAGAGCGTCTGCTAAATGACTAAAATGTAAAATGAGTCAAGGAAAAAGCAATTGAGACTGACCCACTCCCAAGCTAATGCATACTATCTTTTGGCCACAGGATGGTGGTACAAGACTGTCAATGATTATCTCCAGTAACGTCTGAACCATCTTATTTTGTCTGACCTGGGTGTTGCAAAATTCCGCTAACTTTTCCCAAAATTCCAAGGTTTTCCAGAAATCCTGGTTGGAAGATTGCGGATTTTCTTCTTACTCTCTCCTGATTCCTGTAATTGTCAAACCTGGATTTCTGGAAAACCTTGTAATTTTGGGGGGGGGGGGGTTAAAGCAATTTTGCAACCCTAGTCTGAGCGCTTTCTCACGTTTAACCAATCGGGGCATTAGGACCGCTCGGTATCCTGTAGCTTTGTGTCGTAGTATTGAGAAGTGAACCAGATGACGCTAGGCCGGCTAGTTTATGATAGCCTTTCCGTTTGGTATTGGTGAGAGAGGAGGCATTCGTGTCAGCACAGATTAGAACATATTTAGTGTCAGGGTGTAGCCAAATCCAGCCAGCTAGCTAACCTCGCTAGCCGCAGACAGACATACAAGCAACACTGTGAACGAGGCCCTTGGGAATTACGAACCGCTAGCAAGTCTGATAATTGAGTTTTTGCAAGAGGACACCAACGTTGCCTAGCTCGCTGGCTTGCAAAGCAGCACTACAAGTAGCATTGCTAGCTAGGTCAACAGACCACGGCGTTATTAAAGATGAATGGCATATGTATGAAGAACGAGGGTATAGAGGGGACAGAGAGGTTTGCTAGCCCGGGGAAGGGCAGGGGACTGCGGGCTGTGAAGCACTTCCCTGTCGGAGACCTCGTATTTGTCTGTCCTGCCTATTCCTACGTGCTGACGGTGAATGAGAGAGGAGCGCACTGTGAATACTGCTTCACCAGGTATGGACCTGTCTGTACAACTGTCAGAACATGATGGCTTTGGGTTGTAGAATAGAAATGAGATCTAAGAGTTATATTTGTGGTTCTATCCAGCTACCTGGCCAACCTCATCTTGCATGAAAATGATATTTATCTCTCTGTGTGTCACTTGACGTAGGGCTAGTTGTCGATATTTCTAAGGTGTTCTCAAACCACCATAACATTGTAGCGATCGTTTTACATCCTTGGAAGGCATTGTGACTAGAAATGGACGTCACACTCACCCCTCACCATGTGGGTTCAGCATGGCTTTCAACAGCTAACACACAAACACACAGTTGTTTCATCAGATCAGGCCCATTCAGTATCTGGCTCAGCTTGTTGTTCAATCATGAATGAACGAAGTTACTTTGACACACACACACACACATTGAATCAACTTGAGGTGCTGTTCTAGTGACTACTAGGGAGATTCCCCTGATCTAGGATCAGTTTTCCCTTTTTAGATCATAATGCACAAGATTAAATGGACAGGGTTAACCTGTTCATAGATCAGCACTCATAGTCTGAGACGTTTTATGAATAAAGGTCCAGTTCATTGACGTCAGTGCAGATGGAGAGGAGACTACTAGAGAACAGCTAGGAGTGGAGAGGCGACTACTAGAGAACAGCTAGAAGTAGAGAGGAGACTTCTAGAGAACAGCTAGGAGTGGAGAGGAGACTACTAGAGAACAGCTAGGGGTGGAGGGGAGACTAGAGAACAGCTAGGAGTGGAGAGGAGACTACTAGAGAACAGCTAGGGGTGGAGGGGAGACTAGAGAACAGCTAGGAGTGGAGAGGAGACTACTAGAGAACAGCTAGGAGTGGAGAGGAGACTACTAGAGAACAGCTAGGAGTGGAGAGGAGACCACTAGAGAACATCTAGGAGTGGAGAGGAGCCTACTAGAGAACAGCTAGGAGTGGAGAGGAGCCTACTAGAGAACAGCTAGGAGTGGAGAGGAGACTACTAGAGAACAGCTAGGAGTGGAGAGGAGACTACTAGAGAACAGCTAGGAGTGGAGAGGAGACCACTAGAGAACAGCTAGGAGTGGAGAGGAGACTTCTAGAGAACAGTTAGGAGTGGAGAGGAGACTTCTAGAGAACAGCTAGAAGTAGAGAGGAGACTTCTAGAGAACAGCTAGGAGTGGAGGGGAGACTACTAGAGAACAGCTAGGAGTGGAGAGGAGACTACTAGAGAACAGCTAGGAGTGGAGAGGAGACTTCTAGAGAACAGTTAGGAGTGGAGAGGAGACTTCTAGAGAACAGCTAGAAGTAGAGAGGAGACTTCTAGAGAACAGCTAGGAGTGGAGGGGAGACTACTAGAGAACAGCTAGGAGTGGAGAGGAGACTACTAGAGAACAGCTAGGAGTAGAGAGGAGACTTCTAGAGAACAGCTAGGAGTGGAGAGGAGACTTCTAGAGAACAGCTAGGAGTGGAGAAGAGACTACTAGAGAACAGCTAGGAGTAGAGAGGAGACTTCTAGAGAACAGCTAGAAGTAGAGGATACTTCTAGAGAACAGCTAGGAGTGGAGAGGAGACTACTAGAGAACAGCTAGGAGTGGAGAGGAGACTACTAGAGAACAGCTAGGAGTGGAGAGGAGACTTCTAGAGAACAGCTAGGAGTGGAGAGGAGACTACTAGAGAACAGCTAGGAGTGGAGAGGAGACTACTAGAGAACAGCTAGGGGTGGAGAGGAGACTACTAGAGAACAGCTAGGGGTGGAGGGGAGACTAGAGAACAGCTAGGAGTGGAGAGGAGACTACTAGAGAACAGCTAGGAGTGGAGAGGAGACTACCAGAGAACAGCTAGGAGTGGAGAGGAGACTACTAGAGAACAGCTAGGAGTGGAGAGGAGACTATTAGAGAACAGCTAGGGGTGGAGGGGAGACTAGAGAACAGCTAGGAGTGGAGAGGAGACTACTAGAGAACAACTAGGGGGTGGAGAGGAGACTACTAGAGAACAGCTAGGAGTGGAGAGGAGACTACTAGAGAACAGCTAGGAGTAGAGAGGAGACTACTAGAGAACAGCTAGGAGTGGAGAGGAGACTACTAGAGAACAGCTAGGAGTGGAGAGGAGACTACTAGAGAACAGCTAGAAGTAGAGAGGAGACTTCTAGAGAACAGCTAGGAGTGGAGAGGAGACTTCTAGAGAACAGCTAGAAGTAGAGAGGAGACTTCTAGAGAACAGCTAGGAGTGGAGAGGAGACTACTAGAGAACAGCTAGGAGTGGAGAGGAGACTACTAGAGAACAGCTAGGAGTGGAGAGGAGACTACTAGAGAACAGCTAGGAGTGGAGAGGAGACTTCTAGAGAACAGCTAGGAGTGGAGAGGAGACTTCTAGAGAACAGCTAGAAGTAGAGAGGAGACTACTAGAGAACAGCTAGGAGTGGAGAGGAGACTACTAGAGAACAGCTAGGAGTGGAGAGGAGACTACTAGAGAACAGCTAGGGGTGGAGAGGAGACTTCTAGAGAACAGCTAGAAGTAAATAATAAATATAAATAATTGGTCATTTAGCAGACGCTCTTATCCAGAGCGACTTACAAGAGCAATTAGGGTTAAGTGCCTTGCTCAAGGGCACATCGACAGATTTTTCACCTAGTCGGCTCGGGGATTAGAACCAGCGACCTTTCGGTTACTGGCACAACGCTCTTAACCACTAAGCTACCTGCCGCCCTAGAGAGGATACTTAGAGAGTAGAGTAGAGAGGATACTTCTAGAGAACAGCTAGGAGTGGAGAGGAGACTACTAGAGAACAGCTAGGAGTGGAGAGGAGACTACTAGAGAACAGCTAGGAGTGGAGAGGAGACTTCTAGAGAACAGCTAGGAGTGGAGAGGAGACTACTAGAGAACAGCTAGGAGTGGAGAGGAGACTACTAGAGAACAGCTAGGGGTGGAGAGGAGACTACTAGAGAACAGCTAGGGGTGGAGGGGAGACTAGAGAACAGCTAGGAGTGGAGAGGAGACTACTAGAGAACAGCTAGGAGTGGAGAGGAGACTACCAGAGAACAGCTAGGAGTGGAGAGGAGACTACTAGAGAACAGCTAGGAGTGGAGAGGAGCCTACTAGAGAACAGCTAGGAGTGGAGGGGAGACTAGAGAACAGCTAGGAGTGGAGAGGAGACTACTAGAGAACAGCTAGGGGTGGAGAGGAGACTACTAGAGAACAGCTAGGAGTGGAGAGGAGACTTCTAGAGAACAGCTAGGAGTGGAGAGGAGACTACTAGAGAACAGCTAGGAGTGGAGGGGAGACTACTAGAGAACAGCTAGGAGTGGAGAGGAGACTACTAGAGAACAGCTAGGAGTGGAGAGGAGACTGTGGTCCTCTGTAGCTCAGCTGGTAGAGCATGGCGCTTGTAACGCCAGGGTAGTGGGTTCGATCCCCGGGACCACCCCATACGTAAAAATGTATGCACACATGACTGTAAGTCGCTTTGGATAAAAGCGTCTGCTAAATGGCATATTAAAGATCAGCTAGGAGTGGAGAGGAGACACTAAACTGCTGCTTTGTAGGGACACGCACTCTATTCAATTTAAGGGCTTTATTGGCATGGGAAACATATGTTAACATTGCCAAAGCAAGTGAAGTAGATAGTAAACAAAAGTGAAATAAACAATAAATATTAACAGTAAACATTACACTCAGAAGTTCCAAAAGAATAAAGACATTTCAAATGTCATATTATGTATATATACAGTGTTGTAACGATGTGCAAATAGTTAAAGTACAAATGGGAAAATAAATAAACATAAATATGGGTTGTATTTATAGTGGTGTTTGTTCTTCACTGGTTGCCATTTTCTTGTGGCAACAGGTCACACGTCTTGCTGCTGTGGTTGCACACTGTGGTATTTCACCCAATAGATATGGGAGTTTATCAAAATTGGGTTTGTTCTCTCTCTCTCACACACACACACCTCTCTCAGCACCTATTGCAGCAGTTGTGAGTTTCATTACAGGAGAGATAAGTGCTGACAAAAACAGTCGCAGTCTCTATAATACTAACTGTTGGTAAAATGTAAAATAGGTCAGCTACACACGCAGACAGATGACGGCTACAGGCTGAGACAGAGAGTGGAGCTGAAACCACTTTAGGTTGTTGAGACACAACGGTATCTATCTGGTTTGGTTCTGGAATCATTCCTGATTCTCTAGGAGAGGAGAGGCCTTTTATATTCACATACACACACACACACCACAGACATACACACACACACACCACAGACCTACACACACACACCACAGACCTACACACACACACCACAGACCTACACACACACACCACAGACCTACACACACACACACCACAGCCCTACACACACACACACACACACAACAGACCTACACACACACACAACAGACCTACACACACACACAACAGACCTACACACACACACACACCACAGACCTACACACACACACCACAGCCCTACACACACACACACACAACAGTCTCACTTGTTTCTGGAGACATGCCCAGATTTATATATACAGTACCAGTCAAACATTTGGACACACCCACTCATTCAAGGGTTTTTCTTTATTTTTACTATTTTCTACATTGTAGAATAATAGTGAAGACATCAAAACTATGAAATAACACATATGGAATCATGTAGTAACCAAAAAAGTGTTAAACAAATCAAAATATATTTTATATTTGAGATTAATCAAATAGCCACCCTTTGCCTTGATGACAGCTTTGCACACTCTTGGCATTCTCTCAACCAGCTTGAACTGGAATGCTTTTCCAACAGTCTTACATTTACATTTTAGTCATTTAGCAGACGCTCTTATCCAGAGCAACTTACAGTTAGTCTTGAAGGAGTTCGCACATATGCTGAGCACTTGTTGGCTGCTTTTCCTTCACTCTGCCTTCCGACTCAGAGTGGAAGCCAGGTCATCTGATGCAGCACTCCATCACTCTCCTTCTTGGTAAAATAGCACTTACACAGTTAAGTGTCCCTTGAATTCTAAATAAATCACAGACCGTGTCACCTGCAAAGTACCCCCACATCATAACACCACCTCCTCCATGTTTTACGGTGGGAACTACACATGCGGAGATCATCCGTTCACCCACACCGCGTCTCACAAAGACACGGTGGTTGGAACCAAAAATCTCACATTTGGACTCCAGACCAAAGGACACATTTCCACCGGTCTAATGTCCATTGCTCGTGTTTCTTGGCCCAAGCAGGTCTCTTCTTCTTATTGGTGTCCTTTAGTAGTGGTTTCTTTGCAGCAATTCGACCATGAAGGCCTGATTCACACAGTCCCCTCTGAACAGTTGATGTTGAGATGTGTCTGTTACTTGAACACTGAAGCATTCATTTGGGCTGCAATTTCAGAGGCTGGTAACTAATGAACTTATCCTCTGCAGCAGAGGTAACTCTGGGTCTTCCATTCCTGTGGCGGTCCTCATGAGAGCCAGTTTCATCATAGCGCTTGATGGTTTTTACGACTGCACTTGGAGAAACTTTCAAATTTCTTGAAATTTCATCTCTTCATCCTTCATCTCTTAAAGTAATGATGGACTGTCGTTTCTCTTTGCTTATTTGAGCTGTTCTTGCCATAATATGGACTTGGTCTTTTACCAAATAGGACTATCTTCTGTATACCCCCCCCTACCTTGTCACAACTGATTGGCTCAAACGCATTAAGAAGGAAAGAAATTCCACAAATTAACTTTTAAGAAGGCACACCTGTTAATTGAAATGCATTCCAGGTGACTACCTCATGAAGGAGGTTGAGAGAATACCAAGAGTGTGCAAAGCTGTCATCGAGGCAAAGGGTGGCTACTTGAAGAATCTCAAATATAACATTTATTTTGATTTAACACTTTTTTTGGTTACTACATGATTCCATATGTGTTATTTCATAGTTTTGATGTCTTCACTATTATTCTACTATGTAAAAATAAAGAAAAACCCTTGAATGAGTAGGTGTGTCCAAATGTTTGACTGGTAGTGTCTGTATAGGATAGTGACCTTTCTCTGCACCATTTGCCCTTAAGAGAGATGGGCGAGAACAACCCACACTAGAACGTTGTGTGTGTGTGTGTTTGAGAGAGAGAGAGAATAGTGGTGTAGGGGAATGTGTTTCCTGCCCTTTCTATTGCTGATGTCACCCCCCCCCCCCCTCCCCCCCTCCCCCCTTTCTATCTCTCTCTGCAGGAGGGAAGGACTCTCCAAATGTGGCAAATGTAAACAAGCTTACTACTGCGAGATCGACTGCCAGGTATAGTGTATATGTATCCACCACTGTACTTTAGGGGTTGAGAAAACAGTCCCAGTCATAAATCTACTCCCCGGGGAAAGTGTGCGCCCCTTAGGCGTGTTAGTGTGTGTTTCAGAGACACTGAGCCCTAGCCACTAGGGAAAGGTCATCGTGAACCCACACCACCAGTGGAACGCCACTACAGAGCTAAATTCAACAACCCTCTGAAACATGCCCAGAGCTGTGTTCAACAACTCTGGGCCTCCCTCTGAAACATCATGGCCTAGAGTTGAGCTGTGTTCAACAACTTGTAGTTCACGAGGGGCTGTTCCTAGCCAATACAATTGCAGTGGTTCCAACAGCTCAGTGGGTTAAACCAGATGTTCTCAATCCTGGTCCCTGGGACTCCAAGGGGTGCACATATTTGTTTTTTTCCCTAACACTACCCACCTGATTCCACTAATCAACTCATCAGCAAACCTTTAGTGGAATCAGCTGAGAGGTGCTGCTACAGTGTAGGGCAAAAAAATAATAATAATAGTGAACCTTTTTTGGTCCCCGGGACCAGGATTAAGAAACACTGGGTTAGGACACTGTACTTCTGGCAAAACCAGAGTTGTGGGTTCAGTTCCCCTGCATAGGCCACATATAATAAATAATATAATATAATCATGTATTGTATAATGTAATGAATGCACGCATGACCGACCTAAGTCATTAGGATTAAAGCTTCTGTTAACTGGCGCATATTAACATATACAGTGAGGGGGAAAAAAGTATTTTGTACGTTTGCCCACTGACAAAGAAATGATCAGTCTATAATTTTAATGGTAGGTTTATTTGAACAGTGAGAGACAGAATAACAATAAAAAAATCCAGAAAGACGCATGTCAAAAATGTTATAAATTGATTTGCATTTTAATGAGGGAAATAAGTATTCTGACCCCCTCTCAATCAGAAAGATTTCTGGCTCCCAGGTGTCTTTTTATACAGGTAACGAGCTGAGATTAGGAGCACACTCTTAAAGGGAGTGCTCCTAATCTCAGCTTGTTACCTGTATAAAAGACACCTGTCCACAGAAGCAATCAATCAATCAGATTCCAAACTCTCCACCATGGCCAAGACCAAAGAGCTCTCCAAGGATGTCAGGGACAAGATTGTAGACCTACACAAGGCTGGAATGGGCTACAAGACCACCCTCAAGGTCCCCCTGCTCAAGAAAGCACATATACAGGCCCGTCTGAAGTGTTGTGGTCAGATGAGACCAAAATCAAGCTCTTTGGCATCAACTCAACTCGCCGTGTTTGGAGGAGGAGGAATGCTGCCTATGACCCCAAGAACACCATCCCCACCGTCAAACATGGAGGTGGAAACATTATGCTTTGGGGGTGTTTTTCTGCTAAGGGGACAGGACAACTTCACCGCATCAAAGGGACGATGGACGGGGCCATGTACCGTAAAATCTTGGGTGAGAACCTCCTTCCCTCAGCCAGGGCATTGAAAATGGGTCGTGGATGGGTATTCCAGCATGACAATGACCCAAAACACACGGCCAAGGCAACAAAGGAGTGGCTCAAGAAGAAGCACATTAAGGTCCAGGAGTGGCCTAGCCAGTCTCCAGACCTTAATCCCATAGAAAATCTGTGGAGGGAGCTGAAGGTTCGAGTTGCCAAACGTCAGCCTCGAAACCTTAATGACTTGGAGAAGATCTGCAAAGAGGAGTGGGACAAAATCCCTCCTGAGATGTGTGCAAACCTGGTGGCCAACTACAAGAAACGTCTGACCTCTGTGATTGCCAACAAGGGTTTTGCCACCAAGTACTAAGTCATGTTTTGCAGAGGGGTCAAATACTTATTTCCCTCATTAAAATGCAAATCAATTTATAACATTTTTGACATGCGTTTTTCTGAATTTTGTTGTTGTTATTCTGTCTCTCACTGTTCAAATAAACCTACCATTAAAATTATAGGCTGATCATGTCTTTGTCAGTGGGCAAACTTACAAAAATCAGCAGGGGATCAAATACTTTTTTTTCCCTCACTGTACTAAATGGCCTGTATATGGCAACATCTGTTCTGTAGTGTCGCTCTGGATAGAAGCTTCTGCTAAATTACCATTATTATTAGAACAGCATTTAGGAACGTGTGAATCAGATGGGAAATGGTCTCTAAGTTCTCGTGGTTGCCATGACAATACATAATGCCTCTGGCTCTCTATCAGAGCACGGTTTAGAGTAGTGTTGTGTGTTTGTGAGAGAGAGAGATGTCTTGTCTGTGGACTCACTGTGTTCTGTGTCCATGAGTAAAGCCTATTCCTAAAATATTATTCTGTCTCTTTACACTCACACAACAGAAGGGGGACTGGCCCATGCACAAGTTGGAGTGTACAGCCATGTGTTCCTATGGGGAGAACTGGTGTCCATCCGAGACCGTCAGATTGGTGGCCAGGATCATCATGAAACAGGTCAGTACGTGTGCATTCGGAAAGTATTCAGACCCCTTGACTTTTTCCACATTTTTGTTATGTTACTGCCTTATTCTAAAATTTATTAAATTATTTGTTTTCCTCATCAATCTACACAGAATACCCCATAATGACAATGTGAAAACCAGGTTTTTAGACATTCTTTCAAATGTAATAAAATAAAATAAAAAAACAGAATACCTGAGACCCGATCCAGGACCCGAATACCTGAGACCCGATCCAGGACCCGAATACCTGAGACCCGATCCAGGACCCGAATACCTGAGACCCGATCCAGGACCCGAATACCTGAGACCCGATCCAGGACCCGAACAGGCCTCCCGAGTGGCACAGTGGTCTAAGGCACTGCATCGCAGTGCTAGCTGTGCCACTAGAGATCCTGGTTCGTATCCAGGCTCTGTCGTTGCCGGCCGCGACCGGGAGACCCATGGGGCGGCGCACAATTGGCCCAGCGTCGTCCAGGGTAGGGGAGGGAATGGCCGGCAGGGATGTAGCTCAGTTGGTAGAGCATGGCGTTTGCAACGCCAGGGTTGTGGGTTCGATTCCCACGGGGGGCCAGTATGAAAAATAATGTATGCACTCACTAACTGTAAGTCGCTCTGGATAAGAGCGTCTGCTAAATGACTTAAATGTAAATGTCTTGATCCAGAATTCTAAATAATGTCACAGGTCTGAGTCGGAACTGATATGATTGTCCTCGGGTGTGTGTAATTTTAACTGACTTGTCCAGAAAGGCCCGTACAGATCCGAACGCAAATGCCGCAGTACAGAGAGAAAATGTTATAATTTATGCTGCTGCGCTTGCTGTTAATGAGCGTGGCGAGTGTAGCGTGTAGCGTGTTCTTGGTCAATCCTCAGGCAGTAGGATACGGTCATAGAGCCTCTGTGTGGAAAAAGTTAGGAAATATCTAATCAATGGAAGATGGAATTAAAATGATTAAAGTTTAAAGCAAAGGTTAGGCTACAACGACCAAGAGCCAACAGGTAAGCTGCTACTTTATATTCTGAATGGAGTAGTTGTTATTTGTAACTGTAGGACGAGAAAGCGCATGCGCTGCAGCCTCAATTAGCCTAGCTAGCTAGCTTAACTAGCTTCTCCCGGTTTGCCTGCTAGAACGGCACCTCTCTCCCCCTCCCTCCTCTCTCGTTTTATCAGCTCCGGTTCATAAAGCAGCTTAAAAATGGACTTTTCTGCTGCTTCCCTCGTTTGGATCGGACCGGGTCTGGATCCGACCAGGTTTATACGGAACGGGTCTAGTTGTCCTCTGGTCCGTTCGGAACAGGTCTCCTATATTTTAAACATTAATTGATGCATATCTGGTCACGGGTGGGATAGCCCCAGGTCCATTTCGTAACGGGTCAAACTTTTTAGACCCATGAAGACCTCTAGCGTGTGCGCTTGCACGAAAAACATTTATGGGTCTAATCAGAGAATTGCATATAAAATCCCTATCAATTTAGTATGATCTCTGTGGACCTAGTAATGATTGGTCATATAACTTTTATCATGCATTACCTTTTTAATGATTGGTCATGTAACTTTTATCATGCATTACCTTTTTAATGTGGCATAAATTAAAAATGCCACATTAAAAAGGTGGCATAAATTGACCTGTGGCATAAACACAACCAGTCATGATGTTTTCATCCGATTGTCAAACAATCACTTTAAAAAGGCGCTCCTGTTGGCTACCTGCAGGCGTCTGTCCACTCACAAAATCATTCCAGCATCCAAACAGTGCACTGTGCACCCACAATTTGAGGATGCAAAGAGACATCTTGTTACTTAAAACCTAAAGGTGTTTGTCATTAGGTCCACAACACTTGTAGTCTGAATTGATGCGTCCACTGCTGTACACGCTCGTCTCAGTCTCGGACACTTATCTCCGCCTTGGGAAACACGTTGTTCTCCTCTAACCGCAGTTTGGAGTCTATACCGCCCCGTTTTAAAGTCAATTCGCTCATTTTCGCGCAGCTGACATGCCGTAAACTAAGTATTAAATTGAATTAATAAATAATTAATTAAATTAGTAATTAAATAACGATGTAAGTGCCTGTAGTTGTTTGATTTATTGTGACAGGCTCACGTTTTACCGCAATTCTTTTTTTTGCCAGGATGCCGTACCGGACCATACCGGCTTACTTTCACTCGGGCTATTTCCCCTAAATGTTGCTGCTTTTGTCTTTGTGTGTTTTTCCAGAAAGTCACAACGGAACGGTCACAGTCAGAGAGGCTGTTACTCCTCAGCGAGTTTGAAGCCCGTAAGTACACAGATTTAGATGCATAGTAGCCTACATACCTGCTTTATAGTGCACCAGGGTTGGGCTCAATTCCAGTCAATTCAGGAAGTACACTGAAATTCACATTTTCTTCAATGCTTTTCAATTAGGAAAATGTGGAATTGGAATTTGGTTTACTTCCTGAATTGAATGGAATTGAAATAACTACTGATTTTAATGGTTCAATAAGACATCTGAACTTAGTTATGTGTTTTTGTTTTTTGTTGAGTCAATTAGACCATGTCAAGCTTACCTTTAAATTTTTTTTATTTTACCTCATTGGTTCTGCTTTGTAGTATACCCCCTTGTTTCTAACCCGGCCTGGAACCCAGTAGCCTCAGCAGCCACCCTGCATCCCACTGCTGCTGAGGCTACTGGTCCTGGGGTCCAAACAGAAAACAACATAATAATAAACATGAATATACAGCACCACATTTACATTACAATTCAGCCATTCAGCAGAAGGTCACATCCAGAGCAATCCGTAGCTGGTGCATTCATCTTAAGATAGCCAGGCGAGACAACCACATATCACAGTCAAATCCCAACCACGTATCACATACATAATACAATACAATACAAAATGTCTTCTCTCCTCTCTCCTCTCCCCCTTTCCCCCTCTCCTCTCCCCCTTTCCCCCTCTCCTCCCCTCCTCCCCCTCCTCCACTCCTCTCCCCCTCCTTCTCTCCCCCTCTCTCCTCTCCCCCTCTTTCTCTCCTCTCCCCCTACCTCCTCTCCTCTCCCCTCCCCTTCTCTCCCCTCTCTCCTCTCCCCCTCTCTCCCTCTTTCTCTCCTCTCCTTCTTTCTCTCCTTCTCTCTCTCCTCTCTCCTCTCCCCCTCCTTCTCTCTTCTCTCCTCTCCCCCTCCTTCTCTCCCCTCCTTCCTCTCCTCTCCCCCTCCTTCTCTCTCCTCTCCCCCTCCTTCTCTCCCCCTCCTTCTCTCCTCCTCCTTCTCTCCCCCTCTCTCCTCTTCCCCCCTCCTTCTCTCCCCCTCCTTCTCTCCCCCTCTCTCCTCTCCCCCTCCTTCTCTCCCCCTCTCTCCTCTCCCCCTCTCTCCTCTCCCCCTCTCCTTCTCTCCTCTCTCCTTTCCTCTCCTCTCCTTCTCTCCCCCTCTCTCCTCTCGTTATCAGACCTGGATAAGTTGAACAGTGAGAAGAATGAGATGAATCAGACAGACATAGCAGCACTGCATCATTTCTACTCTAGACACATAGACTTCCCTGATGACCAAACCCTCACTGTGCTCTTTGGACAGGTAAGGATAAGATCTAGTTTTATGTTTCAGCAGGTCTGCATCATTTCTACTGTATTCACCAGTGGCCTCACCATGCAATGTCAGCGTTTGACTTCCTGGTTGCTCTGGGTTGGCCCTCAGCTGTTGACAGCCAATCACATGCAGCTGCTGCCCCTTCCTAGGATTCCTTCCTCGCCCTTTTAAGGACTTTGTCACACTACACAGAACCCCTCTCTTTCTCTCTCTCTCTCTCTCTCCAACTCTCTTTCTCTGGACAGATTTCTATCTTCTCCCTCTCCCATTTTTCAAATGCATGTTTCCTGCTCCCTTCTACAACTCTCTCTGTCACCCCCCCCCCCTCTCCCCCCTCTCTGTCACCCCTCCCTGTCCCCCTGCTCTCTGTCACTCCCCCTCCCCCCTCTTTGTCACTCCCCGTCACTCTCCCTCCCCCTCTGTCTCCCCCCTGTCTGTCGCTCTCCCTCCCCCCTCTGTCTCCCCCCTCTCTGTCGCTCTCCCTCCCCCCTCTGCCACCCCCCCTCCCCCCTCTCTGTCGCTCTCCCTCCCCCCTCTGTCACCCCCCCTCTCTGTCGCTCTCCCTCCCCCCTCTGTCACCCCCCCCCTCTCTGTCGCTCTCCCCTCCCCCCTCTGCCACCCCCCCTCCCCCCCTCTCTGTCGCTCTCCCCTCCCCCTCTGTCACCCCCCCCCTCTCTGTCGCTCTCCTCCCTCCCCCCTCTGTCTCCCCCCTCTCTGTCGCTCTCCCCTCCCCCCTCTGCCACCCCCCCCTCCCCCCCTCTGTCGCTCTCCCTCCCCCCTCTGTCACTCCCCCCTCCCCCCTCTCTGTCGCTCCCTCCCCTCCCCCCTCTGTCACCCCCTCCCCCCTCCGTCTGCTGTCGCTCCCCTCCCCCCTCTGTCTCCCCCCCTCTCTGTCGCTCTCCCTCCCCCCTCTGTCACCACCCCCCCTCTCGGCCGCTCCTCCCGTCCCCCCTCTGTCTCCCCCCGCTCCGTCGCCCCTCCCTCCCCCCCATCTGTCACCAACCCCCCATCCCCCCTGCTCTGTCGACTCCCCTCCCCCCTCCTCCCTCCCCCCCTCTCTCGTCCGCTCCGCCCTCCCGCCCCTCTGTCCACCCCCCCCTCTGGCGCTCTCTCCCTCACCCCTCTGTCGCCCTCCCCCCTCTTGTCGCTCTCCCTTCGCTCCCTCCCCCTCTGCCACCACCCACCTCCCCCTCCTGTCGCTCTCCTCCCCCCCTCTGTCCCTCTCCCCCCCTCGCTGTCGCTCTCCCTCCCCCCTCTGCCACCCCCCCCCCCCCCCTCCCCCCTCTCTGTCGCTCTCCCATCCCCCCTCTGTCCACCCCCCTCCCCCCTCTCGTCGCTCTCCCTCCCCCCCCCTCGTTCCTCCCCCTCGCGTCGCGCTCCCCTCCACCCCTCTCTGTCCCTCCCCCCCCTCCCCCCCTCTCCCTCCCCCCCCTCTGTCTCCCCCCCCTCTCCCCCTCCCCGTCGCTCTCCCTCCCCCCCTCTGTCCCTCCCCCCCCTCCCCCCCTCCCCCCTCTGTCCCTCCCCCCTCCCCCCTCTGTCTCCCCCCCCTCTCTGTCGCTCTCCCCCCCCCCTTCCCCGTCCCCCCCTGTCTCCCCCTCTCTGTCGCTCTCCCCCTCTCTCCCCCCTCTCTGTCGCTCTCCCTCCCCCCTCTGCCCCCCCCCTCTCTGTCGCTCTCCCCCTCCTCCCCCCTCTCTGTCCCTCTCCCCCCCTCTGTCCTCTCCCCCCCCCTCTGTCCCCCCCCCCTCTCGTCCCTCCCTCCCCCCTCTCTCCCCCCCTGTCTCCCCCCTCTCTGTCGCTCTCCCTCCCCCCTCTGTCCCCCTCCCCCCTCTCTGTCGCTCTCCCTCCCCCCTCTGTCTCCCCCCTCTCTCTCGTCCTCTCCCCTCCCCCCTCTGTCACCCCCCCCCCCTCTGTCGCTCTCCCCTCCCCCCCCTCCCCCCTCTCTGTCCTCCCCCCCCCTCTGTCCCCCCCCTCTCTGTCGCTCTCCCCCCCCCCCCTGTCACCCCCCCCCCCCCTCTCTGTCCTCTCCCTCCCCCCTCTGTCCCCCCCTCCCTCCTCCCTCCCCTGTCACCCCCCCCCCCCTCTCTGTCGCTCTCCCTCCCCCCTCTGTCCCCTCCCCCCTCTCTGTCGCCCCTCCCCCTCTCCCCCTCCTGTCACCCCCCCCCCCCTCCCCCCTCTGGTCGCTCTCCTCCCCCCCCCCCCCCTCCTCCTGTCGCGCCTCCCTCCCCCCTCTGTCCCCTCCCCCCCTCTGTCGCTCTCCCTCCCTCCCTCCCTCCTCACCCCCCCTCCCCCCCCCTCTCTGTCGCTCTCCCTCCCCCCTCTGTCCCTCCCCCTCCCCCTCTCTGTCGCTCTCCCCTCCCCCCTCTGCTCACCCCCCTCCCTCTCTCGTCTCCCTCCCCCCTCTGTCACCCCCCCCTCTCTGTCGTCTCTCCCCTCCCCTCTGTCTCCCCCCCTCTCTTCGCTCTCCCTCCCCCTCTGTCACCCCCTCCCCCTCTCTGGTCCCCCCTCCCTCCCCCCCTCTGCACAACCCTGAGGCGCATCTCCTATCGCTCTCCTTTCTCTCTTGGTCCGCCCTGGGGTCTACCTAGCTCGTTGTTCATTCCTATCGCAGCCTGGGGTCCTAACCTCATCGCTTTTAGTTTCATCCCTTAGTCAGGACCACCCTGAGGGTCTACCTACCCGTTAGTTTCTTCATTGTCGGACAGCCTTCTACCATAGCCGTTAGTCATCTTTCCCCCTCGGGTTCTACCCTACTTTTCGGTTTCCCTTCCCCTTGTCAGACAGACCTGAGGGATCTAACCTATAGCGTTTAGTTTCATTCCATTAGTCAGGACAGACCTGAGGGATCTAACCTATAGCGTTTAGTTTCATTCCATTAGTCAGGACAGACCACTTTAACATGCCTTGTATTTGGCATTACACTGGTGCTCGCTCGCTCGCTCTCAATTCAATTTAATAAATGCTTTATTGGCATGAATGGGTTGTTGCCACTGTTGCCAAAGCATTGTATATAAAGGATTACATAGATGAACAATATGTTTAAGCAACAATCATTTTCTCTGTTGCTCTCCCCCCCCCCCCCCCCCCCGTTGCTCTCCCCCCCCCCCCCCCCCCCCCCCCCTGTTGCTCTCCCCCCCCGCCCCCCCCCCTGTTGCTCTCCCTCCCCCCCCCCCCCCCGTTGCTCTCCCCCCCCGCCCCCCCCTGTTGCTCTCCCCCCCCCCCCCCCCCTGTTGCTCTCCCCCCCCCCCCCCCCCCCGTTGCTCTCCCCCCCCCCCCCCCCCCCTGTTGCTCTCCCCCCCCCCCCCCCCCCCCCCCCCTGTAGGTAAACTGTAATGGCTTCACCATAGAGGATGAGGAACTGTCTCACCTGGGCTCTGCTGTGTTCCCTGAGTAAGTCTACAGTGTCATCTCTGTCTGACCCCATTCACACCACTGCAATGGCAGTACAGGGACAGTACACACATTATAAATCATTGAGGATGGATGACACAAAGTTATCACCAAAGGTATTATCTAACTCTCTCTCTCTCTCTCTCTCTCTCTCTCTCTCTCTCTCTCTCTCTCTCTCTCTCTCTCTCTCTCCTCTCTTCTCTCTCTCTCTCTCCCTCTCTCTCTCTCCTCTCTCTCTCGTCTTCTCCCCCCTCTCCCTCCCTCCAGTGTAGCGTTGATGAACCATAGTTGTAGTCCTAACGTCATCGTCACCTACAGGGGGACAGTAGCAGAGGTACGAGCCGTGCAGGACATCCAGCCTGGAGACGAGGTGAGACCTGGACTGAACACACACATACTGTACACACATACCCAGGCCTCTAACCCTGGCCTCTAACCCTGGCCTCTAACCCTGTCCTCTAACCCTGGCCTCTAACCCTGTCCTCTAACCCTGGCCTCTAACCCTGGCCTCTGGCCTCTAACCCTGGCCTCTGGCCTCTAACCCTGGCCTCTAACCCTGGCCTCTAACCCTGGCCTCTAACCCTGTCCTCTAACCCTGGCTTCTAACCCTGGCCTCTAACCCTGGCTTCTAACCCTGGCCTCTAACCCTGTCCTCTAACCCTGGACTCTAACCCTGGCCTCTAACCCTGGCCTCTGGCCCTGGTTTCTAACCCTGGTCTCTAACCCTGGCCTCTAACCCTGGCCTCTAACCCTGGTCTCTAACCCTGACCTCTAACCCAGGCCTCTAACCCTGGCCTCTAACCCTGACCTCTAACCCTGGCCTCTGGCCTCTAACCCTGGCCTCTAACCCTGGTCTCTAACCCTGACCTCTAACCCAGGCCTCTAACCCTGGCCTCTAACCCTGACCTCTAACCCTGGCCTCTGGCCTCTAACCCTGGCCTCTAACCCTGTCCTCTAACCCTGGCCTCTAACCCTGGCCTCTGGCCTCTAACCCTGGCCTCTGGCCTCTAACCCTGGCCTCTGGCCTCTAACCCTGGCCTCTAACCCTGTCCTCTAACCCTGGCCTCTAACCCTGGCCTCTGGCCTCTAACCCTGGCCTCTGGCCTCTAACCCTGGCCTCTAACCCTGGCCTCTAACCCTGGCCTCTAACCCTGGCCTCTAACCCTGGTCTCTAACCCTGTCCTCTAACCCTGGCTTCTAACCCTGGCCTCTAACCCTGGCTTCTAACCCTGGACTCTAACCCTGGCCTCTAACCCTGGCCTCTGGCCCTGGTTTCTAACCCTGGTCTCTAACCCTGGCCTCTAACCCTGGCCTCTAACCCTGATCTCTAACCCTGGCCTTTAACCCTGATCTCTAACCCTGGCCTCTAACCCTGGCCTCTAACCCTGGCCTCTAACCCTGACCTCTAACCCTGGCCTCTAACCCTGGCCTCTAACCCTGGCCTCTAACCCTGGCCTCTAACCCTGACCTCTAACCCTGACCTCTAACCCTGACCTCTAACCCTGGCCTCTAACCCTGGCTTCTAACCCTGGCCTCTAACCCTGGCCTCTAACCCTGGCCTCTAACCCTGGCCTCTAGCCCTGACCTATAACCCTGACCTTATGAACTCCTTCCTGTCCCTCTGTGTAGATCTTCAACAGTTACATTGACCTGCTCTACCCGACGGACGACAGGAACGAGAGACTGAGAGATTCTTACTTCTTTACCTGCGTGTGTGATGAGTGTGCCACCCGGTCTAAGGTACAGTACAATAACCTGATAAGGTACAGTGTAATAACCTGATAAGGTACAGTGTAATAACCTGATAAGGTACAGTACAATAACCTGATAAGGTACAGTGTAATAACCTGATAAGGTACAGTGTAATAACCTGATAAGGTACAGTGTAATAACCCGATAAGGTACAGTACAATAACCTGATAAGGTACAGTGTAATAACCTGATAAGGTACAGTACAATAACCTGATAAGGTACAGTACAATAACCTGATAAGGTACAGTACAATAACCTGATAAGTTACAGTACAACAACCTGATAAGGTACAGTACAATAACATGATAAGGTACAGTGTAATAACCTGATAAGGTACAGTACAATAACCTGATAAGGTACAGTACAATAACCTGATAAGGTACAGTGTAATAACCTGATAAGGTACAGTACAATAACCTGATAAGGTACAGTACAATAACCTGATAAGGTACAGTACAATAACCTGATAAGGTACAGTGTAATAACCTGATAAGGTACAGTACAATAACCTGATAAGGTACAGTTTAACCCGGTCTAAGATACAGTACAATAACCTGATAAGGTACAGTTTAACCCGGTTAAGATACAGTTACAATAACACAACCATGATAAGGTACCGGTTAACCCGGTCTAAGATACAGTACAATAACCTGATAAGGTACCGTTTAACCCGGTCTAAGATACAGTACAATAACCTGATAAGGTACAGTTTAACCCGGTCTAAGATACAGTACAATAACCTGATAAGGTACAGTTTAACCCGGTCTAAGATACAGTACAATTACCTGATAAGGTACAGTTTAAACCCGGTCCTAAGATACAGTACAAACTTCTTTAACTTGTAAAATTACCTTAATAACCTACATGATTACACTCTATCTAATAACCAGCATTTACTACATGTCTACTATAACCTCAGATCTACACTACTGATTCTATACTAAAGTCTATACTGATTACTACTATACTGCCATTTAACTAACTATACCACTGGCATCTACTACTACTGACTTACTATAACTATAACGATCTATATACGCACTCTAATACTAAACCCTACTACTGCATCTTACTATACTGCCATCCTAGTAATACTACTACTGCCATCTCTACTACTATGCCATCTCTATACTAAACTACTATAGCCATTTACTACTACTGCATCTTACTATAATACTACTACTGCCACTCTATACTACTACTTACTACTAAACTACTCTATGCCATTACTAACTAAATACTATACTAACTGCCATCTTCTATCTAAACTACATACTACTAAGACCATTGTCTACTACTACAACTATATACTAACTGCCTAATTCATTCTACTACTAACTAATACATTACTTACTGCATCTATACTACTTAAAACTGACTACTACTAGCATCTCTACTACTAACCAAACATACTACTACTACTGCATCTCTACTACTAAAACTCTATACTACTGCCATCTCTACTACTAAACTACTAACTTACTTGCCATCTTACTACTAAACCTACTAGCTTAATCTGCCATCTCTACTACTAAAACTACTATACTACTGCCATTCTACTAAAATATTCTACTAAACTCAACTACTACTGCCATCTCTACTACTAAACTACTACTACTGCATCTCTACTACTAAACTACTACTACTGCCATCTCTACTACTAAACTACTACTACTGCCATCTCTAACTACTAAACTACTACTACTGCCATCTCTACTACTAAACTACTACTACTGCCATCTCTACTACTACTGCCATCTCTACTACTAAACTTACTACTACCTACTACTAGCTCATCTCTACTACTAAACTCATACTACTCTACTACAACTTACTATCTGCCATCTCTACTACTAAACTACTCCTACTGCCATCTCTATCTACTACTACTACTGCATTCTACTACTAACTACTACTGCCATTCTACTAAACCTACTATCACTAACTACACTACTACTCCCTTATACTACCTACTACTGCCATCTCTACTACTAAACTACTACTTACTGCCATCTCTACTACTAACTCCTACTACTGCCTCTCTACTACTAAACTACTACTACTGCCATCTTACTACTACTCATCTCTACTACTACTTACTACTGCCATCTCTACTACTAAAACTACTACTACTGCCATCTCTACTATACTAACACTACTACTACTACTGCCATCTCTACACTACTAAACTACTACTACTGCCATCTCTACTACTAAAACTACTCTACTATCCTACTACGTCTGCCATCTCTACATAAACTACTACTGCCATCTCTACTACTAAACTACTACTCACTCGCCATCTCACTATAATCTACTGCATCTCACTACTAAACCTACTACTGCCTCTACTACTACTAAAACTACTACTACTGCATCTCTACTACTAACTCTACTACGCCATCTCTACTACTAACTCCTACTACTGCCATCTCTACTTACTAACGCCATCTCACTACTAACACTACACACTGCCATCTCTCCTACTACTACATGCCACCCTCTACTACTAAACTACTACTACTGCCATCTCTACTAACTACTAACTGCTCCTCCACTCTGCATCTCTACTACTAACACTACCTGCCATCTACTACTACTACTGCCATCTCACTACTAACTACTCTACTGCCATCCTACTACTCCATCTACTTAAAGCTCTCACTACTATAATGCCTCCTACTACTGCATCTACTACTACTACTCTGCCATCTCTACTACTACTAATGCACTACTTACCTTCTACTACTCACTACTACTACTGCCATCTCTACACTACTACTATACTGCACTCACTACTACTACTACTCATCCCTCTCTACTACTACTATACTACTGCCATATCTATACTACACTGCATCTAAACTACTACTACTGCCATCTCTACTACTAAACTACTACTACTGCCATCTCTACTACTAAACTACTACTACTGCCATCTCTACTACTACTGCCATCTCTACTACTAAACTACTACTACTGCCATCTCTACTACTACTGCCATCTCTACTACTAAACTACTACTACTGCCATCTCTACTACTACTGCCATCTCTACTACTAAACTACTCCTACTGCCATCTCTACTACTAAACTACTACCACTGCCATCTCTACTACTAAACTACTACTAAACATCCCTTTTGCAGGACCCTGTCTTTCAAAGATAATTCGTAAAAATTCAAATAACTTCACAGATCTTCATTGTAAAGGGTCCCTGCTCGTCTGCGTGAACGTGCCTTAGGCATGCTGCAAGGAGGCATGAGGACTGCAGATGTGGCCAGGGCAATAAATTGCAATGTCTGTACTGTGAGACGCCTAAGACAATATTACAGGGAGACAGGGAGACAGGACGGACAGCTGATCGTCCTTGCAGTGGCAGACCACGTGTAACAACACCTGCACCGGATCGGTACATCCGAACATCAAACCTGAGGGACAGGTACAGGATGGCAACAACAACTGCCCGAGTTACACCAGGAATGCACAATCCCTCCATCAGTGCTCAGACTGTCCGCAATAGGCTGAGAGAGGCTGGACTGAGGGCTTGTAGGCCTGTTGTAAGGCAGGTCCTCACCAGACATCACCGGCAACAATGTCGCCTATGGGCACAAGCCAACCGTCGCTGGACCAGACAGGACTGGCAAAAAGTGCTCTTCACTGACGAGTCGCGGTTTTCTCTCACCAGGGGTGATGGTCGGATTTGCGTTTATCGTCGAAGGAATGAGCGTTACACCAAGGCCTGTACTCTGGAGCGGGATCAATTTGGAGGTGGAGGGTCTGTCATGGTCTGGGGCGGTGTGTCACAGCATCATCGGACTGAGCTTGTTGTCATTGCAGGCAATCTCAACGCTGTGCGTTACAGGGAAGATATCCTCCTCCCTCATGTGGTACCCTTCCTGCAGGCTCATCCTGACATGACCCTCCAGCATGACACTGCCACCAGCCATACTGCTCGTTCTGTGCGTGATTTCCTGCAAGACAGGAATGTCAGTGTTCTGCCATGGCCATCGAAGAGGCCGTATCTCAATCCCATTGAGCACGTCTGAGACCTGTTGGATCGGAGGGTGAGGGCTAGGGCCATTCCCCCCAGAAATACCAGGGAACTTGCAGGTGCCTTGGTGGAAGAGTGGGGTAACATCTCACAGCAAGAACTGGCAAATCTGGTGCAGTCCATGAGAAGGAGATGCACTGCAGTACTTAATGCAGCTGGTGGCCACACCAGATACTGACTGTTACTTTTGATTTGACCCCCCCCCCCCTTTGTTCAGGGACACATTATTCAATTTCTGTTAGTCACATGTCTGTGGAACTTGTTCAGTTTATGTCTCAGTTGTTGAATCTCGTTATGTTCATACAAATATTTACACATGTTAAGTTTGCTGAAAATAAACGCAGTTGACAGTGAGAGGACGTTTCTTTTTTTGCTGAGTTTATTACTACTGCTGCTACTACTACTACTACTACTACTACTACTACTACTACTACTACTACCACTACTGCTACTACTACTACAGCTACTACTACTTCTACTACTACTATTACTACTATTACTACTACTACTACTACTACTACTACCTTAAATACTTCAAGCACACACATTTTTGTCAGGAAATGTCCTTTTGTAGTCTCTACTTGTAATAACAATAACTGCAACGCTTTGATTCCCCTCTGCTGTCTATAGCAGCATTTCCCCAACTCGGTCCTGGTGACCCCCGGGTGCACATTTTTGCCCTAGAACTAAACAGCTGATTCAAATAATCAAATGTTTGACGATGAGTTGATTAGTGGAATCAGGTGGAATCACCAATCAACTCATCAAACCTTTGAGAGAAAGAGAGAGAATACCTTTGTGTAGTGCTAGGGCAAAAACCTAAATGTGTACCCTCCCCTCTTACCTCCTCCCATACTAAACAGGGACTAGACAACTCCTAAAACTGGGTGGGTCACACACTGTGAATGCAGCAACGGTGTGGGACGCACTGCAGTAAAGACTGCAGAACTCCGTGTTCTTGGTCTGTTTTGTGTGTTTATAGGTCGGAGTGTGTCCTCATTGTGTCCAAACTAGAATACATTCCCCTCTGGAGCCATTCTAGCCCTGTTTTACCCCAAACCCTGACTTGGATCTTCTCTCCTCTCTCTCTTCTTCCCTCTCTCCTCCCTCCCTCCCTCTCTCCTCCCTCCTTCTCTCCTCCCTCCTTCTCTCTCCCTCCCTCTTTCTAGGATGGAGCTAAGATGGAGCTTCGTAAGTTGAGCTCTCCCCCCGAGCCAGAGGAGGTCAGAGAAATGGTTCGCTACGCCAGGAATGTTATTGAAGAGTTCCGTAGAGCTAAGCACTACAAGAATATCCTTTTCTTTCCCTACTGTACACCTCTTCGTTTCTATACCTTCTCTACTGTAAACCTCTTCGTTTCTATACCTTCTCTGCTCTCTCTACTGTAAACCTCTTCGTTTCTATACCTTCTCTGCTCTCTGTACTGTAAACCTCTTTGTTTCTATACCTTCTCTACTGTAAACCTCTTCGTTTCTATACCTTCTCTACTGTAAAACTCTTCATTTCTATACCTTCTCTACTGTAAACCTCTTCGTTTCTATACCTTCTCTACTGTAAACCTCTTCGTTTCTATACCTTCTCTACTGTAAACCTCTTCGTTTCTATACCTTCTCTACTGTAAACCTCTTCGTTTCTATACCTTCTCTACTGTAAACCTCTTAGTTTCTATACCTTCTCTACTGTAAACCTCTTCGTTTCTATACCTTCTCTACTGTAAACCTCTTCGTTTCTATACCTTCTCTGCTCTCTGTACTGTAAACCTCTTCGTTTCTATACCTTCTCTGCTCTCTTTATTGTAAACCTCTTCGTTTCTATACCTTCTCTACTGTAAACCTCTTCGTTTCTATACTTTCTCTGCTCTCTGTACTGTAAACCTCTTCGTTTCTATATTTTCTCTGCTCTCTCTGTCCATCTCTGTCCCCCCCGTCACTTTCTCTACCTCCTCCTCTCTCTCACACCTTCTATGTCTCCCTCTCTACCCCTCAAATCAAAGTTGACAATATACAGCGGGTGTAAACCGTACAGTGAAATGCTGACTAGCCACTCTTCCTTCAGTGTAAAGTAGAGTAGTAAAGTCATCAATAGACAAGAAGCACAACGATCGGTAAATAAGACAAGGAAATAAAATATAAATAAAAGAACACAAGCAGAAGAGTGTTTTGGCTGGTCCCTCTTTAGTGTCTGGATACAGTGTGGGAGGTTTGATCGACAGTGGGGCGTGTGGTGCGCTGTAGATACGTCACGTATTCTGTTCCTGTGCTGTAGGTGACATGTCGTGGAGTAGGTTCAGTACCACTCAGCAACCTACCATATGACTGGACCTTCAATAGCTTCTCACACCAGAAGGAATCTTCCCTTTTACCCACAAATCACTTCTGCACAGTCAATGTTATGAACGTTAGCCCATAGCCTAATTATCTTATACCTGGACTGTGTGCTCATTGGACACATTGGTTTAGGGAATGCCCTTTGAAATAAACATGGAATGCCTAGGGGGTAGGGACTCTTGGGAGAAGAGCCTAGGGGGTAGGGACTCTTGGGAGAAGAGCCTAGGGGGTAGGGACTATTGGGAGAAGAGCCTAGGGGGTAGGGACTATTGGGAGAAGAGCCTAGGGGGTAGGGACTCTTGGGAGAAGAGCCTAGGGGGTAGGGACTCTTGGGAGAAGAGCCTAGGGGGTAGGGACTCTTGGGAGAAGAGCCTAGGGGGTAGGGACTCTTGGGAGAAGAGCCTAGGGGGTAGGGACTCTTGGGAGAAGAGCCTAGGGGGTAGGGACTATTGGGAGAAGAGCCTAGGGAGTAGGGACTCTTGGGAGAAGAGCCTAGGGGGTAGGGACTCTTGAGAGAAGAGCCTAGGGCAGGGGTAATCAACTCTGACCCTACGAGGTCCGGAGCCTGCTGGTTTTCTATTGTACCTGATAATTAATTGCACCCACCTGGTGTCCCAGGTCTAAATCGATCCCTGAAAGAATGGAAAAAAATCAGTGGAACCGGCTTCCAGGTCCAGATTTGAATTTGAGGGCCCCTAGGGCTTGTTTTTGAATGAGGCCTCAGTCAGTCTGTGTTGTGTTGAGTCCTTTACTCTTCAGCACCCCCTAGTGACCTGCTGGAGATCTGCGAGTTGAGCCAGGAGAAGATGGGCTCCATATTTGCAGACACTAACGTGTACATGCTGCATATGATGTACCAGGCCATGGGAGTGTGTCTGTACATGCAGGACTGGGACGGAGCCATGAGCTACGGAGAGAAGATCATACAACCATACAGGTAACAAGTGCATACAACCATGACAGTGGAGACTACTGAGAGGAGAGGACGGCTCATCATAATGACTGGAATGGAGTCATGAAAAACCACGTGTGTCTGATACCATTCAGTTGACTCCATTCCAGCCGTTATGATGAGCCGTCCTTCCCTCAGAAGCCTCCACTGCAAGCACACACTTTCCAGGCAACACACACACACACACACACACACACACACACACACACACACGTAAGTGAAATGTTTAGTTGTGTTATTTCCAGTGATGTAGTGGTAAAAAAAGAAATAGGTGGGTAAATGGTCATTGCCGTTCGCTGCGAGTAAAGTAACGCTCCTTTTTACTTTCAATTTGTCCGCAAAAGGTGGGTTAACGCACGGCCAAAATAAAAATAAAAGTGCATAAACAGCGTTTACCTTCCACTACACCACTGATTATTTCTTCTCCTGTGTGTCCAGTATCCACTACCCAGCCTATTCTCTGAACGTGGCCTCCATGTACCTGAAACTGGGCCGACTATACCTGGGACTGGAGAGGAAGAACCAGGGAGTCAAGGCGTTAAAGGAGGTAACGCCTCGTCATTCACCAGGGTATTCAGGAAGTACACTGACGTTTCCAATTCTCTTCCATGCTTTTCAATGAGGAAAATGTTTATTTTCTGAATTGACTGAAATTGAAATGGAATTGACCCCAACCCTGTCACACACACACACACCTTATTCAGTTATTCTTGGTTCAGTCTGGGCCTTTGATCAATTGAATCAGGTGTTTTAGTGCAGAGCTGAAATAAAAGCCTGCAAACCCTGTAGCTCTCTGGCAGTTTGAGATCCCTGATCTATGGTTTCCCACCTGATGGCCAAGCTGCAAAGTCAAAATGGACTATATCGTAAAAATTGATGAAAACAACAATGTGCTTTTTGGTCTTAATGTAAGGTTAGGAATAAGGTTAGCAGTGTGGTTAAGGTTAGGTGTTAGGGTTTAGGGTTAGGTTTAAAATCCGATTTTAAGAAGAGGTATTGTAGATACAGGCAGGGTTTATGACCTTGCAACTTGGCCAGATGGTGATGACCAACAAACGTTGATGGGTAACGTGTAATATCCTGTTTTCTGTGCAGGCGATCGCCATTATGGAAGTGGCTCATGGGAAGGATCACCACTACGTAACAGAGGTCAAACGGGAGGTGGAGGAGCTGAAGTAAGGAGGAGAGGAGGAGGAAGAGTGAAGAAGAAGAGGAGGAAGGAGTAATGAGGACGAGAGAAGGAAGAGTGAAGAAGAGGATTAGAGGAAGGAGGAGTAATGTGAAGGAGTGAGGAGGAGAGGAGGACTTATCCAAACCCTGGGTCAAAACATAATAATTAAACAAAACAGCTGCATGGCACTGAGCATGCATCCTATACTTCTCTTTACGTCTCTCTCTCTCTCTCTCTCTCTCTCTCTCTGTCTCTGTCTCTGTCTCTCTCTCTCTCTCTCTGTGTCTCTCTCTCTCTCTCTCTCTGTCTCTGTCTCTGTCTCTGTCTCTCTCACTCTCTCTGTCTCTCTCACTCTCTCTGTCTCTCTGTCTCTCTGTCTCTCTGTCTCTCTCTCTCTCTCTCTCTCTGTCTCTGTCTCTGTCTCTGTCTCTGTCTCTGTCTCTGTCTCTGTCTCTGTCTCTGTCTCTCTCTCTCTCTCTCTCTCTCTCTCTCTCTCTCCCTGTCTCTCTCTCCCTGTCTCTCTCTCTGTCTCCCTCCCTCTCTCTGTCTCTCTGTCTCTCTCTCTCTCTCTCTCTGTCTCTCTCTCTCTCTCTCTCTCTCTCTCTCTCTCCCTGTCTCTCTCTCCGTCTCCCTCTCTCTCTCTCTCATTCCGTCTTTGTTGATTAACTTAAAGTCAAAATCAGGTTTCTCATGTCACAGAAAGTTATTCTCATTACCAGTCAGTGGAAAGAGACAATGGCCCTAGTATTTCTATTCATCGGTTGTTTCTGCTAAACCGGCTGCTTTTACGGTAACAATCAAATCATGCACTGTGAGGTCTGAGACAGTACATGATGGGAGTATTTGATGTACTGGGTAGCAGTATTGCTGTAACTGGCAATGACACTTGTAATTTTTTGTTTGTTTTCGGGAGCCTGGCCTCGTATCTGCCCAAACTGTGAAGAGAAGAGAGAATTCATGAATTCCCAAATCATGTTTGTATTAACTGATAGAGTTTCTCTCTTCTCTTGTAGCAAATTGAGAGAATGCAAAAAAAATACATTTGTTTTAAGTCCAAACTTAAATCATTTCCCTTTGTATTACAGCACAGACCTTGTTGAGGAAATGTTGTCCTTTTGCCTGTTTTAGAAAATCAGAAGTGTTGCATGTTTTTTCTCACTCATAAAACAGGATGCTGTCTTTGTCTGAAGGGAATTCATTGGAACTCCAGAAAAACTGTCTTGTGGATCCCTCAGCGATTCTCATTCTCTAAACAGTGTCCACTAACTCTGTTCCTGGAGAGCTAGCAGGCTTTTGTTCCAGCCCAGCACTAACACCTGATTAAACTGATCATCTATTTTCTACTTAACACTTATTTTTCTTAAAACTGCATTGTTGGTTAAGGGCTTGTCAGTAAGCATTTCACTGGAAGTTCTACACCTGTTGTATTCGGTGCATGTGACAATTTGATTTGAAGCCCAGACATGTGGCTAAATTGATTAGCTGAATCAGGGCTCCTATTCAGACATTTTCTAAAGCTGAGTTTACACAGGCAACCCAATTCTGATATTTTGCCCAGTTATTGGCAAAAAAAGCTGATCTGATTGGTCAAAAGACCAATTAGTGAGGGGAAAAAAATGATCAGAATTGGGCTGCCTGTGTAAACGCAGCCTTTGAGTAAAAGTGCTGATCCAGAAATCAGCTTTGCCTTTTAAATCATAATGAATAAGAGGGGGGGACCTGATCCTAGATCGGTACTCCTACTCTGAGACGCTTCGGTCATTCAGTTGACTTTGGGATATATGAACCAGTTTTCCAAAGACACTATTGTGTTATGCAGTTTTATATGTACAGAGGAAGGAGACACTTCTTCTTCGTTGAGGTTTAACGGCGGTTGGCATCCAATACATGTTGCATTACCGCCACCTACTGGACTGGAGTATAACTCCCTTATACTTT